GTGCTAAATGCAAATATTTAGATGATACAAGAAATGTATATATAACCCTGATTGTTTTGATCTTATAACCTCTAAAACCTTCAAGAGCACATTTCAAGCCAAAGCTGTGAACTTTCTGATGAGGATTAAACATCACTGCCACAGTTGAACATTTATCTCCTAGACAGGGTATGAGGATGAACTTAGTTTCTTCAATTAGCCATTTTTGCAAGCCAATTGTTCAGTTCTCATCCACTTCGTTCATCTGCTTTACACTGAAGGCAAGCTTCAGACCCCATAGCAAGTAGAGTATGAAACCTCATGATTGAACCTGGTTGGGGGGGGGAGGTGCTGCACAAGGAAATTGTGCTTTACCCTCGGGATTAAGGTGGTTGTGGTCAACCTGTCAGCCGTTGCCTCACAGGAGACATACAGAATAAATGATCTTCCCCAGAGCACACATTTCAGCATAAATTAAGAGTTTACTGAACAAGGATTGACCACTTGGCTTGCACAGATGGTGAATCAAGGAAACAGTTTATCCTCATATACTGTCTAACACATAAACGTTCATCTGCAACACTCCTCAGTAATCCTGTAGCTATAGATGTACTCTTGAAGGTATTTTGGAGGTTACAAGTTTCGACAGTTCAGGGGTTTGTTTACATTTCTTGCAATAGCTTTGAGTCTTGCAATTAGCACTAGATTCACGTATATTAACTTGGCTCTAACCGTTGATGCTGATTGGCCATTGCATCCCTTTCTTCGGAAATACAGCTACATCTGCAGCCAAACTATCAAATCTCAGGCTTAAAGCTTGGGACTGCGGTAGTGCTGTGCTCTTGAAGGTTGTTGAAGGTTACTGGAACAAAAAGTACAGGGATTTGATTTCATTTCCTACTGTACCTGCAAATTGTGCATTGAGTATTAATTTCTTGCATATTAACTTGGCCCAACCCCTTCATGATTAGTTACTTTATTCTATTCCCATTCCACATGGACTTGAACCCATGTTCTCATGCATACAAGCATATTACACTGTGGTAACGCTTGTCATGCTGGATCATCCACCGAATGCTCGTCATGACTGCTGTATTCAGTACAGGTTAAACAGTTTGACACATCCAGTCTTGAGGTTTATACAAACCATTCATTTTAAGTCGTGTAACACAAATGGTCTTGTAGTGATTTATTCTACGTTTATTCTGATCATAAAGAGGACTCCTCAAACAATCAGGCTCTGAGGATGTTTGTAATTTCACTGCACATGTGATTTTATACGCAAATTCAACCACTAGATGTGTGGGACTCAGGCACGGGGCAGCTAACTTACCTTCTGAATTTTCCGTGTTCATGTCCACAGGGAATGTGACTGCAGCTTTTTATGAGCCGAAGTGAAAGCATTTTTACTTACCTCCATAAACACAATCAACTTGTATTCTTTCAACATGCTACTGAATTTTAATGTTTTGGTGTTTGAAATATTCAAGATAGGTTTTAAAAAAGGACAAGAATTTCCAGAATTTACTCCCAATCCAATTATTTTTTTAATGTTATTCATCCAACACTTTAAAATTCTTAAATATTTTAAAATTATTTGTTAACTGTATTTACAAGGTGAATTTTCTGGCAGAAGTTGTTTTGTATGTACTCATAGACTTCATTTTATTTGCACCCTCTACATATTCTGAGTGCAGTGCTGCACTAAGCACAGGAACAACTTTGTTTTGATTTCTTTATTGGTTGTATTACAGCCATCAGCACTCAATTGGGGTCACTCAATTCCAGTCATTCCTGACAGCATGCTGTAAAGCAGAAATATGTATCGGCAAGGATGAAGGCTGAACTAGTGGGCTGCATTGTCATAGATGCATACAGTCTCAGGTGACCTCAAACTCTGTTCAGGACACTAATGTTCTGCCCATATTGGCCTGTGACAACACAAGGCTCCTAGCGGATCAATCTCTCCTACATCAGAGGAGTTGACTGACCTGTATGGATCTACCAAGTAAAACCCTTGACAAGGTGTCTAAAATTCTCGTTTCCCCTTACACGTGTCATCTGTATCTGTACAGACATCCTTAGGGTGTACACGTAACAGGTTTTCCTAAAACATAATCGGCTCTGAAGAGTATTTATTAAAATATATTACAAATATCCCACCCAGAAGGATCCAAATAGTCTCACATACATCAGAATGTTTATATTTGCTTCAGTGTATATAATTTTTGAATAAAAGAAATGTAAAATATCTTGCAACAGTGTAAGTCCTAAACTGTCAAACATTCTATGGATTACGTTACAATTCAACGAAGTGATTCATACTGCTTTCACTATGCTGCAACACATCTGTCTTTACCACAGCCAAGTTATGGCAGTCATACTTCCATAAACTTGTATTACAGAATTCTACATCAATACAAAGCCTAACCTGTTCACTATGGCTTCTCAGATTATTGAGGAATTAGCTGCCAAGAAATTTCTAACTGTACCAATTAGAAAAATACCTTAACATCTCCCCACCAACCCCCAAAACTGCAGCAGTTCCTATCCAATTTATACTTATAATTACCTCTGCAATCAGACAGTAACTTAAGGAGTTCAGGGTCCTGTGTTGCAGCAACGTGTAGTTTGGAGATGGTCCAGTGTTTAGGAAGAATATGTCACCTCCACAACACAGGGCACTCTCCGAACTACACATTGCTACAACTCAGAATGCTGTACTCTTCATTCCAAGTACCAGCCATAGCCTCCTCACTGTCACCATGCAATTCAGAAGTATCGACAAATGCAGAACACGCAACTCTCAGTTCTAAATTCCTACACCTAACTCCCATGTCAAACCAAAACCAACTGTTATCTACTCGTGACTGTGTATTCCTGTACTCCCTGTATGTGCAATTACAATGTATGCTCTCTAAGCGAACAAGTCTTCAGCTAAGATCTTCCATAGGAATATGGCTGTAACCACAACGATTTCAGTCTTCTGGGATGTGACACCATGTAGTCTGGTTACCATCATTTCTGAGGAATGTGAGGCCTCCATCTTCATGGTCTTTTCATTTTACATGTTTCTCCAAATTGGTGCTAACATTCTACAAGTCTACATGGCCTCACATCTAAGAAGACAACAGTTTTTCAAGTTACCAGGTGTTTAGAAAAGCCGACTGTCAATTAATCCAAATTGTCACATGCTGATACTGTATGCAGATATGAGAGCCACAGTTTACAGGATGAGTTTTGGGAAAGAGATATCATTGGCTGTACTTTATTCGATAGAAACTGGCAAAATAGAGGTAAGCTGCAAGCATATAGAGTCCATTTTAAATATATACAAGAACTTTACCAAACGTTTGTAACTTCTAACACTTCTGTAAGACATACATGAAAGAGATTTAGACCAACCAAAGTGGAAGCTGATATAATGCTTTAGACAGGTTTCATTGTGGAACTCCCATATCACACTCCATCAAAATGCGTGTTGCCTGCGAGAACTGCAACATACAACAATGGGAATATAGACACAGTTCTGTCACAGAAAATGCTAAATTTTCTGAGCTACGAATATCAGCTTTATCATGCTATCATTATATGCATCAGCAGTATTAATGGCCTGGGTGTTTTCTTGGATTCAAAGCTACATTTTCACACACATGTTAATTACATATTTTCTGAATGCATAAAGCTTTTAGGCCTTATTCGCTCCATTATTTACAGATTTTCCTCCCTGGAGTGTCTGTGTGTACTATACTTTACTTTAGTCACATCCAAGTTGGAATATGCCTTGGTAGTTTGGAAATCCATCACCTCGACTGATGCCCATAAGCTTGAGCGTATCCAGCAGAAGTTTGCGTCCGTCTGTTTTTATCGTTTTTTCCCTCATATTTCATATAATTATGCTTATGCTTTAGATAAATTAAGTCTGCAATCTTTACATAAACGGAGACATCACCTTGATGCACTTTTTCTTGTTCAGGTCTTTCGTGGTCTTAAATCCTGCGCTTCTCTTTTGGAAAATGTTAGCCTTCGTGTTCCTCCCAGCAATCTTAGGGACTTCTCATTGTTTGGTTTTTGTCCCACTAATAAACACTGTCCTTCTGCTCGGTGCGCCTATGCTGCCAACGCGGTGGGTAAAGATCTCGACATATTTGCAATCGGAACAGTTTCTGTCAATGACACTGAACCTAAAATTGTTAATAATATTTGTTAATGATACTCTTAATATCACTTCTGTATATGTGGTCTTATTTTGTTGTTCTCTCCTGTTAACGTTAACTTTATTTTGCTTGGCATTATTATTACTCTATTGTCATTATGTAGACTTTCAAATTTTGTATTTGTTTTTTAATTATTTTTATGTAATTCTATGTACTCATGCTAACCTTTTAATTGGCCTCTGTGCTGTTAAGTTGTATGTAATTAAACATGAATTGAATTGATTTAA